TGTCATGACTTATATTTAAGTCTTTTATCCAACTTGAGTTTATTTTTGTGTGGTATAAATTGGTGATTGAGTTTTATTTTTTTGCATGTAGCTGTCCAGATCCCCCAACATCATTTGTTGAAAGGCTCTTTTTACTCCATTTTATGCTGCTGCCCCCTTTGTCAAATATTAATTGACCATAGAGACTTGTGTTTATTTCCGGGCTCTCTAATCTGTTCCATTGGTCTATATTTCTGTTCTTATGCCAGTACCAGGCTGTTTTGATTACAGTGGTCTTGTAATACAGTTTGATATCAGGTATTGTGATCCCTCCTGCTTTGTTCTTTTTTCTCAAAATTGCTGCAGCTGCTTGGTGTTGTTTATAGTTCTATATAAATTTCTGAAATGTTTGTCCTATATCTGTAAAATATGTCATTTGTGCTTTAATAGGGATTGCATTGAATCTATAGATTGTTTTGGGTCGTATGGAGATTTTGATGATGTTAATTCTTCCAATCCATGAGTACCTGCTTCCATTTGTGTCTTCCTTAATTTCTTTCTTCAGTATGGGTAATTTTCTGAGTACAGGTCTTTTACCTCCTTGGTTAGGTTTATTCGTAGGTACTTAATGTTTCTTGTTATTATATCAAATGGAATTTTATCCTGAATTCTGGTTCTGATATTTTATTGTTGGTGTACAAAAATGCCTTTGATTTCTGAATAGACTTTGTATCCCCCTGTTTTGCTAAATTCATTTATTAGATTGAGTAGGTTTTTGGTGGAGTCTATTAGATTTTCTATGTGCATTATCATGTCATCTGCAAACAATGACAGTTTTGCTTCTTCTTTTCCAATTTGGATGCTTGTTATTTCTCTTCTTGTCTGATTGCTTCAGCTAGAACTTCCAATATTATGTTGAATAGGAGTGGACAGCATGGATGGAACTGGAGAGAATTATGCTAAGTGAAGTAAGCTAGGTGGTGAGGGACAGATATCATATGATATCACCTTTAACTGGAATCTAACCAACAGAGAAAAAATCAAGCAAAATATAACCAGAGACATTGATATTTCTATACACTAGCCATAAACAATTGGAAAATTTAAAAATAGCATTTACAATAGCATCAAAAACCCACAAAATATATCTAGGAGTAAATGTAACAAAATGTATGCAAGCCCTCTACACTGAACACTATAAAACATCTCTGGGAAATGAAAGACGTAGATATATGGAGAGACATAACATGCTCTTGGATTGGAAGGCTTGATATTGTTAAGGGGTCAATCATTTCAACACTGATTGACAGACCCAGTACAATCCTGTCTTAAGCTGAACTGTGTCCTCCCAAAGGATCATATGTTGAAGCCTTAAGGCCCAGCACCTCAGAAGTGACCTATCTGGAGGCAGGGCCTTAAAGTGGTGATTAAGTTAAAACGAAGCTTTGGGGGTGAGCCCTAATCCAATATGCCTGGTATTCTTATATAAAGAGGAAGGCTGGGCACACAAAAAGGCACCAAGGATGCGCACGCACAGAGGAAAGGCAATGTGAAGACTCAGTGTGAAGGCAGCTGTCTGCAAGCCAAGAAGAAACCAAACCCACTGACTCTGTGGTCTTGGACTTCAGTGCCCGGAACCGTGAGAATGACTGAAAGATTGCTGGTACTGTTTGTCAGTGAGGATCCAGAGCAATTGAAATATTCACATATCTTTGGTGGGTTGTAAATGGTAAAACACTTTGGAAAAATAATTGTTTCCTTATTTTTTAAAAAGATTTAACTGAGATATAATTGACATAGAGTATTATATCAGCGTATGACAAAACTGTTTGATATCTTCATATATTGTAAAACGATCACCACAGAAAGTCTAGTTAACATATGTTGCCCTGTACAGTTACAATTTTTTCCTTGTGATGATAAATTTTAAGATCTCTGTTAGCAACTTTAAAGTATACAATACAGTTTTATTAACTACAGTCACCATGCTATACATTACATTCCCAGGACTTGTTTATGTTTAAAAAAAAAAGAATAATCTGAGAGTAACATGGGGGCAGGTGGGAAGTGATAATCGGGGGAAGGGTTTTCAGGAATAACTATAAAGGACACCTGGACAAAACCAAGGTGAGAGGGTGGAAGCAAGGGAGGGAGGTGGGTTTGTCTGGGGTTGAGGGGGGTTAATGCAGACAACTGTAATTTGAAAAAAATAGACTAATTTAAAAAATAAATACATAACTTAAGTAAGTTATAGATTAATTCAGGAAAATATGTGCCTTTATAATATGTTACCTTTCTATCTAGAAATTAATAAGTTTATCACTTATTATTAAATGGAGAAATGGAGAATTGAAATGTCCTGCTCAATTCCTGTTATTTTCATGTTTTAAATCATTTCATTGATAATGTTCCACATAGTATTTTCACCTAATGATTATGTATATATATAAATATTTATAATAATAGGCAATATTTATTGAGTGCCCAACGCATACCAACTGTTTGTGTTAAGCATTTTATTACTTAATTTTATCCTTGCTACTCATTTCTCACATAAAAAGTCTTTTTTTTCCCTTTTGAAAAAAATTGTTCTTCATGTACAGTTGTCTACATTGTCCCCCCACATCTTCCCTCCAACCCCAGCCATCCCTACACCCCACCCTTGATCCTACCCCCATTTGGCTTTGTCCATGTGTCCTTTATACATATTCCTTGAAAACCCTTCCTCCTTTTTCTGCCATTATCTTTTCCCCCTCCCCTCTAGTTACTGTCAGTTTGTTCTTAATTTCACTGTCTCTGGTTATATTTTGATGCTTGTTTGTTTTGTTGATTAGGTTCCACTTACAGGTGAGATCATATGGTATTTGTCTTTCACACTTTGGTTTATTTCGCTTAGCATAATGCTTTCCAGATCCATCCATGCTGGAAAAAAAGCAAGTCTTAAAGAACTCAGGTTACTTGCCTGAGGTTTCACAGCAAGTGGCAGAGCTCAGACATGAATCCCAGCATCTGATAGCACAGTCTTACCCATTGCATTGTATGACCAATGGGGAACACCATTACTTTTGGTCTATTCCCCTTACGGAAGTCATTTTTTATTTCAGCAGATTATCTTAGGTTTCCCAGGTAGATCATCCTATCAGCAAATAATAATAACTGTCCTTCTCCTTTCCAATATTTTTACTTCCTCCCCTTTGTCAAACAGACAATAGCCATTTCTTATAATGCTTACAGCTGTTTAAAATATCATTTAAAATTGATTTAATATCGTCAGCAGTAATCATTAAGCAGTTCAGGAGTATTGTAAGATGATGGGTTAGAAATTAAACATAGATAATATGCCTGTGATATTAAGTATGCCAGATTACAGTTGCTGGAATGACTGACTGAGTTGCAAAAAGATGTTCCATGTTATGATTTTGTTTCTCTTTTTATTTTGTTGCTAATCTAAAAATATTACAAAATGTAGTCTAAACTATGTTAATCTTAGGAGCATGGTTGATTTTGTTTATATGAATGCCCTGATTCGATTGAGGGCATATAGTAAATGCCTGTTGGTGCTGATATTGCAGAAAGGTGGGGAAATGCATGGAGGCAACCGGAGTCGGGTCTCAGACTTCATACTCCTGGGGCTCTCTAAGAGTCCTGAAGACCAGGAGGTCCTATTCTGGATGTTCCTGTCCTTGCACCTCTTCACAGTGGTGGGGAATGTGCTCATCACCTTGACCATAAGCACTGATTTATACCTGCACACTCCCATGTACTTCTTCCTGGCCAATCTCTCCTTCGATGACCTCTTCTTTGTCACCAACACAGTCCTCAAGATGCTGGTGAACCTTCAGTCCAGGAACAAAGCCATGTCCTATGCAGGATGTCTGGCACAGTTCCACTTCCTGGTCTTCTTGGTGACCCTGGACAACCTCATCCTGGCCACAATGGCATATGACTGCTATGTCATCAATAGTCCAGTAGGGATGCCAGGAATGAACACTTAGTCCTAATAGGGACACTGGACAGGAAATTCACCTAAGTGATTACTGAACAAAAGGCTGGTAAGCAGATAAGGCAATGGGTATGTAAATTAATACTAGGTCAGAAGATAAGACCTAGCATTAATTTCCACAAGATAAGATAGTGTTCTAGGTAATAGACAAACTTTCCCACTGAAAACAGAAACTTAAGGTGAGAAATCACCAAATACAACAGACTCGTATTTACATATATGTGTTGTCTTAGCTAACAGGTTAGGGGACTGAGAGTAAGAATTTAGAGGAGAAATTCATATGGAGTATTCTGGAGAAGAGTTAGTGTTGAAATAATATTCAGATTATAAATGCTTTGCTTTTCAAAGATTTGAAACATATGAGGCAGGAAAAATGGGAAAATCCATCATGGTATTATAAGAGGTATCATATGCATTGACAGAGTTTTAAAGTTTTGTGCACAGCAATCATGCTCTCAGGAGTTACCAGAGAACACAAGACAGCACAGCTCCCCATCTGTCTCCTCTGTCTGCCAGGGCATCTCTGTGTGATAGGAAAGAGTCGAGGTGCTCTTTTAGTCTTGCAGCAGCCTGATGAGAGGGAGAAAATAATCCTGACCTCTGGACCTAAGTTTTATAAACAGACCAACTATACCTGGGCCTGAGAGAATCAGATGACCCCCTGATGGGGAAATCTGCAGGGATATTTTTGGAAACCCAAAATCTAACCAACCAAAAACCCATTCCCTGTGGGATATGAACCTGTAAGCATTCCTAGGTTTCACTTCTACCCAGCACAGGGAGCAGTCAGTGACTGAAGTTGTAATTTGTCAACTGACCTGACCTACCATTAATTTACATACCCATTACCTATAACTAGGCAGGGCTTCTTTGGAAAACAATAACTATTATCACTTCCAAAAAATTATCATGCTCAGAGAGATAGAAGCAGTCCTGGATCATTTGTTCTAGCTATTGGCTCCAGAGGATTTCTCCTTTATTCCAAAAAGAAAAGGAGGAAGGGACACTGCACAGCTTATCAAGTCAGTGATCGCTTACCTGTGATCACCCACCTGAGGGCACCCTGCACGTGAGGGTTCCAGAGGTTGTAAATGACTGGGTTCAGCATGGGGTTGATGGTAATGTTAAAAATCTCAACAGCTTTATCCTTATCTGAAAGCTTGGCTGAACCTAGTAGCATGTAGTTAAAGATACCTGAGCCATAGAATAGAGCAAGCACAGTGAGATGGGAACCACATGTAGAGAAGGTTTTCTTTCTGCCTTCCACTGAGTGGATTCATAAAACTGCAGCTGCCACATGGGCATAGGAGGTGACAATGAGAGCCATGGGTGTACCTGCCATTAAGAAACCAACAGCAAAGAGCAACTGCTCATTGAGTTGGGTGCTGGAACAGGACAGCTGGAAGAGCTGCAGGAGGTCACAGTAGAAATGATTGATGACATTGGGACCACAGAAGTTGAGCGTGGATATGGCCACAGTGTGGGTCAATGCATTGGTCAAGGCACAGGCCCAGGACACAGCCACCAAAATGCTCTGGACCATCTGACTCATGCGGGTGCTGTAGGTGAGGGGCCGGCAGATGGCCAGGAATTGGTCATAAGCCATGGCTGTCAACAGGAAGCAGTCCACACCAACCAGGAGATGAAAGAAGAAAAGCTGTGTGAGGCAAGCTTCATAAGGAATAGCATGCTTGTGGGTCAACAGATGACCCAATATTGAGGGGACATTGACAGTGATGCACCCAATATCCACAACTGACAGATTCCCCAAGAAGAAATACATGGGGGTGTGGAGTTTGGGATCCACTAAGATGGCAGCCAGGATGCTTAGGTTTCCCCTGACTGTGACCAGGTAGGCAAAGAGGAAGAGCACAAAGACAAGAGGCCACAGCTCTGGCGATTCCACCAAGCCCAGTAGAATGAACTCAGTAATAGCAGTTCCATTTGCCCCAGATTCTTGATCTATCAGTACCTGTAAGAAAACGTCCTGGTGTGGAAATATCAGTCAACTCAAAGCATTTACGCAACATAAGTGTTTTACAGCATCTGTGTTCATAGCTCCCTGAGTAGTCCCCAGCTCTCCAGGTGATGATGTTACCCCACCCCCAACCAAACGTCCCTCACTGACCTCCCATCACCCCAAAGTCTTTATCCTACTTTAAGCTGAGATGCCACAAATCAACATCATCTTCTCCTTTCCATAGTATCCCTATTTTAAGGATCAGAATACTTGGAAAAAATAAGTTAAAATAAAAGCTGACTGCAGTAAGATTACGAGGGGATTTCCCCATTTTCCTCTGAGGGTTTAGCCCAAAGCAACAAGCAGATTTCAAAATAGAAATTAATAATATTTCCAGAAAAACTAAAGGGCCCTTAAAAAACTAATGTAGGTTTCAAGACTCTCAGGAATATTGAAGATGAAAAAGATGTGGCAAGATATGGGAAAGATCCCCATGACTGTGGATATTAGACACTCTAGCCAAGTTTATTTCTCAAAGGTGAGGGACACACTCTCAATACAAATGCAAATCCCTTGGTCAATAAATTCCCAGTGTTCTTGTTGTTAATGAAGCCTTTACACTGGACTTTGAATGACAGCTTCATAAAATAATGTTTCTTTTTATATTATCTGCTACCTGCTTCACAAGTTAAAATTGTAACATGACCTATGTATGGGTGGCTTCCTGCTAGGAACAGTTCCTTTTCTGCATTGCAAAGTTACTTTTCTACATAGCCTTGCACTTGTCCTTGACTCGGGCACAGTAGGTAGATTGACCAATAGCTCTAAGAAGAGGTTTTCATGTGAAGCAAGTGAATACATAGAAAACCAGAATGACCTAAGATTTTCACACCTTATAATAAACTCCTGGTCAAAATATATTACTGTACACATTTCTTTATTGCCCATGGAATAAGCAGAGCTACACCTTCACTGAGAGTAACAGTATTTCCCTGCAGGGAATAGACTGGATTCAGAAGATGGGATGCAGTTGGAGTTCAGTGACTCTAACAAAAGGGAACAGCGATGAGAGTCTGTGCTCAGTATATAAAAAGGTGGACCTGGTGATCTCTAAAAGGGCCTTAAAATTCCAAGAGCACCTGCTTGCTGAGATGGTAGGAGGATCCTCCTCAGGCATGGTCATCACTAAAAAGAGATAAATGCCTTCCAATTGACAAGCCAATGGATAGACAACAGCTCTTTACATATATTATCATATTAAAGAGCAATTAACTACTTTGTTTTTCCTTTAGGGTCCATTTGCACACAAGCATTAGATGCTGACCCCTGATTTTTTACTCCTTTATTCATGCTGCTCCCTCTTCCTGCACAGGCCTCCTTCTAACTCCTGGAGGCCAATTGACTCAAATACTGGCTGCTGAATGACTTCTCTGTGGAAATACTTCCATCTCAAAAGGATCGCTCTCTCTCCCCTTCTCCTCCCTCACTCAGCTACAACTACACATTATTTCAGGGAACTTATCATTATCTACCTCCTAACCATGTCACTACTCTAAAAAGCATATCTTCCTTACATCTCTGTAAAACTGATTCAGTTTTCCAATAGCAGGACTTACCATGATACTTGACATATAGCAGGTAGTCAATATTTCTGAAACAAATAAATTATGGTTTAAGTGTCCATAGGATATCAGAGAAGGAAAGGTCTATCTAGTATAAACTGTAATAGTCATGGAAGACTTTGTGAACATAATGAATTAGAGCTAGACTTTTATGAATCACTATGACTTAGTAGAGGGATAAGGGCAAGTGCCGGGTACAAGGCTGCTGCAAGAACTACAGCTCTCCTGCTTTTGATGGAACAGGAAAGGCATGTAACAATCCACACACTGGTATGTTTCTTTCCATGTATAGCACCCAGAAAATAAGGCCATTAGGAGGTGTATACCCTCCAGACAACTGAGTTATACCCAGGGACAGAAGAGCAGCAAACAGCTGAAGCCAGTCCTAGCATGGCCAGAAGCACAGCTTGCTTGAAATCAGTGGGATTCTGGAATGACCCCTGACTGACCAGAGACATCCAGAGTGTTGACAGAGTGACTATGCTGTTCATCATCAGGAGCCCTTTTTAACCACCATTCTCAGGGCTTTGTAATGAGCCCAGGTTCTTTTTGAGGAGCTAGGGCGGCTCCCTGGTCTGGGACTGCACCTGTTGTCCCTGCTCCTAGCGATAAAAAGGCTCAGCAAGGTCTGTGACTGATCAAAATTTCACACATGATCCTCTCTGATCTAGTCGTGTAGAGCATCCCAGTTTTCCCTGGGTATCAAAATCACTACCCCAGGCAGAATCACAATTCTAATCTTTGTCTATTGGTTCACATAAGAACTACAAAATGTCCAAGTATCCAGCTGAACTTCTGATTCAATGAAACCATTGTTACATCCTCTGGGAGAAGTTCTCCTGGGACAGTTCTTGTGCACCATCATCGATTCTTCAGCCTCGCCTCTTAATCCAGCTACAGCTACAGCTACATCTACAGTAACCAACTCCACACCCACCTCAAACAGCTTTAATACATGTAACCTATAGCACCTCATTTTCATTCTGGTCATTACATACTCCTCTATTCCTGCTCTCAGACTTACATAAATCCATGAAACAAGATTTAGGGAAAATTTGCCAGTATTCATACAAATATTTATGTACACAATGCTTTGTTACAGAGTGTGAGCTCCAGATTGGGTGTTTTTTTTTTTTCATATGGAACTAATTTTTCTTTTTTTTTTTTTAAATTTATTTAGTTATTTTTCAAGTACAGTTTTTTGTCTATTTTTCCCATCCCAGCCTCCCCTGCCCCTTGCTCCCCACCTCCCTCCCATTTCCTCCCCCCCCCCTTAGTTCTCGTCCCTGTGTCCTTCCTATTTGTTCCTCCAAATCCCTCCCCCCTTTTTCCCCTTAACTTCCCTTCCTTCTCCCCTCTTGTCACTATCCCCTTGTTCTCTATTTCAGTGTCTTTGTTTTTTGGGGTTTTTTTTTCCTGCTTACTTGTTTGTTTTGTTGTTTAGCTTCCTGTTAAAGGTGAGATCATATGGTATTTGTCTTTCAGCACCTGGCCTATTTCACTCAGCATAATGCTTTCCAGTTCCATCCATGTTGTTGCAAAGGGTAGTAGCTCCTTCTTTCTCTCTGCAGCATAGAATTCCATTGTGTATATGTACCACAATTTTTGGATCCATTCATTTACTGATGGGCACCTAGGTTGCTTCCAACTCTTGGCTATTGTAAATTGTGCTGCTATGAACATTGTGGTGCATAGGTTCTTTGATATTGATGTTTTAGGATTCTTAGGATATAATCCTAGCAGTGGAATTGCTGGGTCAAAAGGCAGGTCCATTTTTATTTTTCTGAGAAAAATCCATACTGTTTTCCATAATGGTTGTACCAGTCTGCACTCCCACCAACAGTGAACTAAGGACCCCGTTTCCCCACACCCCCTCCAACATTTGTTGTTTGTTGCTTTGTTTATGATAGCCATCCTGACTGGTGTAAAGTGGTATCTCATTGTGGTTTTAATTTGCATCTCTCTGATAGCTAACGATATTGAGCATCTCTTCCTGTGTCTCTGAATGTTCTGTATGTCCTCCTTGGAGAAGTGTTTGTTCAAGTCCTTTTCCCATTTTCTAATTGGGTTGGGTGTCTTCTTAGAGTGGAGTCGTGTAAGTTCTTTGTATATTTTAGAGATTAAACCTTTGTCTGAGGTATCATTGGCAAATATGTTTTCCCATACAGTTGGTTGTCTTGCTAATTTAATACTGTTTTCTTTAGCCATGCAGAAGCTTTTTATTTTGATGAGATCCCATTTGTTTATTCTTTCCTTTACATTCCTTGCTCTAGGGGACATATCAGTAAAGAAGTTGCTGCGTGACATATCTGAGATTTTCTTGCCAATGTTCTCCTCTAGGACTTTAATGGTGTTATGACTTACATTTAAGTCTTTTATCCACCTTGAATTTATTTTGGTGTATGGTGTAAGTCTGTGCTCAAGTTTCATTTTTTTGCATGTAGCTGTCCAGTTCTCCCAACACCATTTGTTGAAGAGGCTATCTTTACTCCATTTTATGTTACTGCCCCCTTTGTCGAATATTAATTGACTGTAGAGAGTTGGGTTGATTTCTGGGCTCTCTGTTCTGTTCCATTGGTCTATGTGCCTGTTTTTATGCCAGTACCAGGCTGTTTTGATTACAGTGGCCTTGTAATACAGTTTCATATCAGGTATTGTGATCCCCCCTACTTTGTTCTTCTTTCTCAAAAGAGCAGCTGCTATTCGAGCTCGTTTATGGTTCCATATAAATTTTCGAAGTGTTTGTTCTATGTCTGTGAAATATGCCATTGGTACTTTAATAGGTATTGCATTGAATCTGTATATTGCTTTGGGTAGTATGGACATTTTGATAATGTTAATTCTTCCAATCCATGAACAAGGTATATGTTTCCATTTGTTTGTGTCTTCCTTGATTTCGTTCTTCAGGGCTGTGTAGTTTTCTGCATACAGGTTTTTTACCTCCTTGGTTAGGTTTATTCCCAGATATTTTATTTTTCTTTTTGCTATATCAAATGGGATTTTTCTCTTTATTTCTGCTTCTGCTGATTCACTGTTGGTATACAAAAATGCCTTTGATTTCTGGATATTGACTTTATAACCAGCTGTTTTGCCAAACTCATCAATTAGTTTGAGGAGTTTTTGGGTAGAGTCTATAGGATTTTCCATGTACACTATCATGTCATCTGCAAACAGTGACAGTTTTGTTTCCTCCTTTCCTATTTGGATGCCTTTTATTTCCTTTTCTTGCCTGATCGCTGTGGCTAAAACTTCCAATACTATATTGAATAGAAGTGGTGAAAGTGGACAACCTTGTCTTGTTCCTGATCTTAGTGGAAAAGCTTTTAGTTTTTGCCCGTTGAGTATGATATTGGCTGTAGGTCTCTCATATATGGCCTTTATTATTTTGAGAAATGCTCCTTGTATTCCCACTTTGCTGAGTGTTTTTATCATAAATGGGTGTTGTACCTTATCGAAAGCTTTTTCTGCATCTATTGATATGATCATGTGATTTTTGTCTTTGCTTTTGTTTATATGATGTATTACATTTACTGATTTGCGAATATTGAACCATCCTTGCATTCCTGGGATGAATCCTACTTGATCATGGTGTATGATCTTTTTGATATGTTGTTGGATGCGATTTGCCAATATTTTGTTGAGGATTTTAGCATCTATGTTCATCAGCGATATTGGCCTGAAGTTTTCTTTCTTTGTTGTGTCTCTATCTGGTTTTGGAATTAAGATGATGCTGGCTTCATAAAAAGAATTTGGGAGTTTTCCATTCTTCTGAATTTTTTGAAATAGTCTGTGGAGAATAGGGGTTAGCTCTTCCTTAAATGCTTTGTAGAATTCTCCTGTGAAACCATCTGGTCCGGGGGTTTTGTGTGATGGGAGTTTTTTGATTACTGCTTCAATTTCTTTTGCTGTTATTGGTGAATTTAGATTTTCTGCTTCTTTTTCACTGAGTTTTGGAAGATTGTATTTTTCTAGAAATGTGTCCATTTCCCCTAGGTTTTCAAATTTCTTGGCATACAGTTCTTCATAGTAATTTCTTACAATCTCTTCTATTTCTGTGGTATCAGTTGTAATCTCTCCTTTTTCATTTCTGATTGTGTTTATTTGTGTCCTCTCTCTTCTTTTCTTGATGAGCCTACTTAAAGGCTTGTCTATTTTGTTTATCTTCTCAAAGAACCAACTCCTGGATTCATTGATCCTTAAAATTGTGCTTTTAGTTTCTATGTCATTTAATTCTGCTCTAATCTTGGTTATTTCCTTCCTTCTGCTTGCTCTGGGCTGTCTTTGTTGTTGTTCCTCAAGTTCTTGCAGGCGTATGGTTAGGTTGTTTGTTTGAAATGTTTCTATCTTCTTTAGGTAGGCCTGTATTGCTATAAACTTCCCTCTCAGGACTGCCTTCGCTGTGTCCCATAAGTTTTGGGTTGTTGTGCGATCATTTTCATTTGTTTCCAGAAATGTTTTGATTTCTTCCCTAATTTCATTCTTGACCCATTCATTGTTTAATAGCATACCATTCAGTCTCCATGTTTTGGGGTGCTTTGGGTTTTTTTCTTTGGGGTTGGTTTCTAATTTCAGTGCCTTGTGGTCAGAGAAGATGCTTGGTATGATTTCAATTTTCTTGAATTTGTTGAGGCTCCTTTTGTGTCCTATCATGTGGTCTATCTTTGAGAATGTTCCATGTACATTTGAAAAGAATGTATATTTAGCTTCTTTGGGATGAAGGGCTCTATATATATCAGTTAAGTCCATTTCATCTAGGGTGTTGTTTAATGCCACAATGTCTTTTTTGATAATTTGTTTGGAAGATCTGTCCATTTTTGATAGTGGGGTGTTCAAATCCCCTACTATGATTGTGTTGCTGTCAATATCTTTCTTGAAGTCCTCTAAGATTTTCTTGATATATTTGGGTGCCCCTATGTTTGGTGCATATATGTTTACAATGTTAATGTCTTCTTGGTGGATTCTTCCCTTGAGTATAATGAAATGACCTTCTGGGTCTC